AGTAGTAAGTATGTAACCCTTAAAAAATTGTTATTTAATTAAAGCATTTTTCAAATTTCCGCTAAACTCAGCCAACTTTTGCCTGACCTCAAACAAAGCGACCGACCGACCACTTACACCTGCATTAGTACAAATCCACTTCTACGCATTTCCTCATTTCGACTCACCTGCCGCAAACTTTGTTGTGGTGCTATTCAGCCGCTCATAGCATTCATTCCGCAACACTTCGAAACTATCCGGCTGCGTCTCCGCCGCGGCGCTTTCATTCTCCGCTCTGGCAACGTTTCGCACACCACCACCACCAACACCATCAACTGGCGCCACATCCGCTTTCGCTGAGTCTACTACAATGGCAGCGGATGTTGGTAAGCCCGCCAACATTCTAGCTGCTAGCGTTAAAGTGTTGCTTGTTGCCGTTGCTGTTGTTGGCGCTGCCAGTAAATTATCTGCATTGTGGGTGTGTGTAGCCGCTGAAGTGGCGGCTGTTAAGCCAGCTATACACAAAGCGTGGGCGAGTAGCTGCGATTTGCCGGAGAGGATATTCATTTTTTGCTTGGGTTTTAGCTTTTGTTTGCTTATTCGCTTGTAGATATGAAGCTGGTGATTTTGTAGCTAATTTTGGTCGTCGTTGGTACATTAGCATTGGCCAGGATGGCAGGTGTTAAGGTCACTGCTGTGAAATAACAAAGGTGTAGTAGCAATTGCGGTGACCTATACTGACGCGGCACATCCTTTCGGCTACGTTTAGTACATATTTACCAAGGATATATGGACAGCGCTGCTGGACTGCTGTTTTCTCGAATGCGTTGAAGGCTGTGTGCTTTAGTTAGTACATGTATGTGGTATGTATTTATGTATGTAGTGCACGTGTTTCTCCATGAGGTACGTTTAGATGTAAGTAGCTTCTTTTAACCTTGAGTCCTTTATTGATTCGCTTTCGAACAGCCTCAAATATTTATTCTTAACTTTTCCCAAATTTTTATGGTGTCCATTGAAATTTCTTGTCTAGTGAACTGCGGATGAGATTAATAAAAAAGAACAGTATGAGAAACGAATTTAATCTTTAATATATATAAGTAAAGTAAAATCGAGTACAGTTATACATATTGCGTATCTTTGGAATAATTATGGGAAGCAATTTTGGTTACCGAAAAAAAAAAAAATGCTGAAATGCGACCAAAACTGACTAAAATTTTAGTAAATAAAACAGTAATGCTCCGTCATAAATTTCCCCTCTCTACGATAACTCTAAGGGGTGAGGCTTGTTGACGATCGTTGATTTCTTCTTTTCTTAGGTCAATATAGTAGATATTCTGAGTTAAATTAAAACGTCCGAAGATGTAAGAATACATTGATTCAACGCCATTTAAATGTGATGCAGACGCACTTTTTTAAATTCCAAATTTTAATATTTTTGTATTTCCTAGATTTTACCCAAACAGGACAAGCTAAGTAAAACCGATCGAAAACGGATAATTTAGTAATTTAAAGAATCTGAGTCTGCATAATATTTAAATGGCGTATTATCAATATAATTCTTATATTTTCAAACCTTTCGATTGATCCTAAAAAATAGTACTGACCTCAAAGGAGAAAAAATAATTTTCTTACTTGTCCTTTCTTTGGGGAAAAAACGACCAATGCGGCACCTTAGATTCATGGAGGATCATTACTATACTAAAATTTCGGTCAGTTTTTGGCTTGGTCTAATAAACATGTATCCCTTGATCGCTCACATGAATTCATTTGGGAGAGATGAACAGTGAAGCAGGTAATACTCGGCTCGAGTCGACTACTCGCCAAACTGTTTATACGAAACGTACACTCGGCCGAGCTACTGTATTGCCACACTACTCGTTAGTGTGATGAAGATATTCGAGTACTCACGCACCGCTCTAATAGGTTTACTTAGTGATCAATATTTTTTCCGGTTGTTTTTATTGATTTAATTTTAATAGAAACCACCGAGCTATTCAAGCAGAATAAATTAAAAAAAAAAAAAAAAAAAAAATACCCAAAAAATAAAAAAAAAAAAAATAAAAAAAAAAAAAAAAAAAAATGATCCAGACAACTTAAAAAAATTTAGTGTGCATAAAAAAGTGCATACGCGCACATATTTAAGTAAAGAGAATATATTTACCATCAAAAACAAAATCCAGGTTAAAGTAATTAGGAAACCGCTAGATTTGGCAAAAACACGTTGCCAATACAACAACTAAAATTACACAATTTGCAATGCTTTCAGCCGAATACACGTGAAAACACACGTTTGTAAGTGAATACTGTAGATAGCAGCTCGATTTAATTAGATTTTGGTTAAAAAACTACATACGCCTAACAACAATTGTGATTTAAATGCGGGTGGTCGTTATTTTTTTGGTTTTTCCACAGTTTAAAGCGGACAAATATGAACATCTAGTATATATACGGTGACCAGATTTCTGTGGACAAAAATCGGGACATTTCTTAAGTGTCGAATGAAAACATATAATTTTGTTTTTAGAATAAAAAGACATAACATCGTTCAATTTAACTTTCTCTGCGTTTGCCCACGTTTTTAAAGGTATAATTTGTTTGTTATTTTTTGATAAAAATATAGTTTAATTTAACAAAATTTTCATTAAAATTTTGAGATTTTTATAATGGAAGTCTTAGAATTTTTTTGATTGTGCAGTTTTTTTGCTGGCGGCTTTGCGGGTTTTTTCATATTATAATAACTGACATTGATTTTTTTTAATTTCTTAACAAACAGTCTTGCATATTTTCTTTCATAAGATGCTTGTAGGGAAAAAAGTGCAAAACACCGTAAACAAATTAAAATTCGGCGATTCTCCGCCGCTGAGAACTTGCACTTTATTATACTAAAATATAATGGGGTACAAAACTGCATACTCAACAAAAATTCTAAAAAATCAGATTAAAAAGCTAAAAAAAATTAATGAATAATTCTTCAGATTTTTTTAAGCTCTGTATAAAGTTAGATTTATATGGCTTTGTTAAGTTAGGTTAATGAGCTTTTCTTGAAAAGAGTTCATTTGGTAGCCAAAGAGGCCCATTTCGATGCACAGGAAAGACTATCCAAAAGAACCTGTCTGAACATGTCCATAAACCATTCTGATCGTTTGGCGAAAACAAGAAGCCCTTCCAGTGTAACGTTGCTTCAACTGTCCAGGTCCTCGGAAGAAACCGTTCCCCAGAAACAGGAAGCGCATATCTTGAAGTGCAGGCCTTTTGCAAAGGAAGTCTTTAAAATATTCTACCTGCACAGAAATTGCTGTACTTAGATCATAAAACAGCTAAGCTGATAATTAGTTTTGCCCTATTGCCACTAATATTGTAACACAATTACATACATACATACATATTTAGGTAAATATTAAAATCGTCTTTAAATTATTTATGCCGAGGTAAAAGTACGAGTTTTAATTGAGTACAGAGTGTAGATAGTTTTTAACATACACAGCCTAAAAGTATGCCCATAGATAGAAAATTTCTACTTAATTAAACATATGTATGGATGTGGTTCTTCACATGCAGATGAAGCGTTTTAAAATTTGCAAGCTTCCAAACATGTATCTATCAAAAAGCTAGTGAATAAATTAACTAAAGTATTCAAATCGCCCTTGACGAGCTAATGATGATAGATAATATTAGCTTAATTTTCTATAAAATGCATTACTCGATGTAAATTAAGTGAAAATGTATCTGCCTTTATATGTAAATAAAATTTCATTAATTATTTTTTAGTATTTGTGTACATATGTATGTGTGTAGGTTAGGCAAAATTGATTTTAGATTTTTTTTTACATATATATGTATACATATTATTACGCAAATAATTTATGCTTATTCTACAAATTTAAGCTTAATTGGAAATATTCATACATAAAAAAATCCAAAATTTAATTTATTCTCTGCCTGTTTTGTTTATTTAAGTTTTTTTTTATGTACGCTTTTTCGCTGCATTTTCAATTAACACATTCTCAAATACGCCGCTGCACGCTTGAGTTGCATGCCACACATTTACAGCTTAGCGATAATTGCTTTGAAGTATTTCGAATTTTGACTTTTCCCCTCGTTTAGTTTTCGCTGATATTTTTCCACCTCTTTATACTTCCCTTTTTTCACATATCCATATAGTTTTTTTCTGCGGTGTACTGGCTAGCAGTGCGCGCTACCGTTCCGCAGGGCCTCGGGTCAAGCCGGGTTCAAGCCAACATAAAAAAAGTAAAAAAAAAATTTTTTTTCTAATAGCGTTCGCCCTCGACAGCTTCTGATAAAATACAATCGCCGTTTGGAGTCGGCGTAAAACTGTAGGTCCCTCCCCTTTGTGTGACAACATCAAGGCGCACGCCACAAATCGGAGGTGAAGCTCGGCCAAACACTAACATATCGAGCCCTAACCGCCAAAATAACGTAAGCGACACTTTTTTCAAAATTTTCTTTTTGATGCAGAAATATTCCTAGAGCATCTAGATGCATTTCTGCATTAAAAAGAAAATTTTGAAAAAAATGTCGTTTACATTATTTTGCCGGTTAGGGCTCGATATGTTTAAGCGCCAAGCCATTTTTTTTAATTTGTAGTTTTTTGACGCTTTAATGATGCTCTTTGCTGTTTGTTGCTGTCATTTGAATGCGTTTTGCATTTTTAATTGTCAATTGTTAATAAATTTAATTTCGTTATTGTTACAAAGTAAGCTGCGTGCAGCGGACCACGTAGGCTATTTTTTATTTAAAGAAAAAAAAACTATTAATGAACTACAGTTGCAGATATGCACATATTTTTTTTGTTGTTATTTACAAATATTTACACACTCGTTAATTTTTTGATTTAATTGAGAATTTTTCATTCATTACAAAATACGAATGTATAACATTTAAGCTGCTGCGCTTCAAGTGATTTTGCATCGAGAAGTGCTTAGCGGAAGTAATCAAGGCTCGATTTATTACATCAATAGCTATCGATATGTAATCTTAATTGGGATTATAGGCAATTGCAGAATATTAAATTAATTTCGGCATTATTGTGGAAAATGTCCAGTAAACTAAATCGGTGATATTTATTGCATTAAAATTGCAAATTTCATGGCATGAATGAATTAATTAAATGCATGCGTGTGTGTAAATATTTTCGAAGTATTAAATATGCATCGATAAGTGTGCTAGTATGCAATAAATTTGCACAAACAATATGAGTAAGCATAGGCGGCATTAATTACGATGATAGCCTACAAAAATCAAATATATTTGGTCATATTGCACAAAAAACATATTTTCCTATAGCTTAATTATCCATAATATCAGATGTAGCGGTTTAAATAGCTATCATGCAGATATTAATCGATAGGCGTATGCAAATATGCATTTATTCAGCTGAGCGCTTTTTGGGAGAATGATTTAAATTTAATAATTTTTTTTTTGTTGTACAGTATTCCCCAGTTAATTGCTCTTCAAAAATTGCTAAAAATGTCTTCTATTTTCGATGGAACATATTTATAACCATTTAAGCGGGAAGACAAATTGAGCGGGGCATCAGGAAGATATATTCGCCAGCAGACCAGCGAGGCCAGCCATCATCGACTTAGTACTTATGTAAGAGAAAATCTGACAAATGAAAGATTCCGTTCAACTAATTACATTTATAGGCAATGCTGATTCCAATTTCCATTCAGTGAGTCATTTTATTGCGTATTTACATATTATCATTATTTTTAATAAAATTCTACGAATACAATTATAATTTTCGGGTTTCTTCCATTAGACTTTATTAAAAAATACATAAAACTAATTCTTTACCAAACAACTCAATTCAATAAATTAATTTAATTTCAATGTGAAATTGCCTACAGAATCATTGCCAAACCAAATGGAATGTATCAATCAGGCATTATCTATAACACTAAAAAATAAGTGTGCTATAAATCAACAACAAGAAAGCAAACAATGTGCGTAATTTTATTGGTGTGCAATAAAATTTAAATGTCTAATTTCTTTTTGAATCGATTTTCCAACG